AAAAGTAATCTGAAGACGCCACAGCACCCCATGCCGTTACTGCCCTAGCACAAAGGAAAAGCTGACCAAGTACTTTTGCTTCCTTGCCACTTCCTCGATGAAGCAAAGCAGAATGTTTGATTCTTGCTGTCTTAAGCATAGACAACAATGTCCACTATCTTTACCATGGTAATAAAGTGGGAGCAGGATTTTCCTTAATTGTCCTGCTAAAGTAAGAGATGTACTGTTTCTTATTAAAATACACTCTGCAACACTGGACTGCAAGGAGCAACGGTCGCTTGACCACGTCGCATACTTGTACGGCATCTGTGATCAATTACTCACTGTAGCAGTAAACAAGACGCTTGCCCCTTCTGAGAGGGCTGGGCCCCTCAGGGCTGAAAGGACTGAAAGGGGCTGAAGGGGGCTGATACCCCCCTCCTGGAGAAAATTTCTCCAAACTTACTTGTCTCCAGGGCGTCAATGTTGAAAATTTGACAATGTCCTATACACACCATTATGTAAGTGTTTCTGATTTTCATTTTTGTGATAATGCTTCTTTAGTAAAAGCTTTGTACACCAACAAACCAACAAACCGTTAAACAAAGACACAAATGCAACATTTAAAGGGTATTTTGCCCACCTGGGGAAATTAAAAAAGCCCCAATTTGTCAAAAAATGTTATAATAAATTAATCTACATGTCCAGTATCTGGAAAAATTACCAAATTTAACCAAATTTAAACAAACTGCCAAGGTCTCCAAAATGGTCTCAACTGGCCTCGTTAGAGCTATATCAGAGAAAACAGTTCTGTGCCATAGGTGAGCACAGTATAAAATAATTCTTGTTGTGTACAGGGAATAATGGGAGCCTTTATTTAAACTCTGTTTACATTTTTTTTTTTTATTTAGTTTTTACATTTGTTTAGGTCATTAAACAGTAAATATAAGTGAAACACGATACGAAAACATAGATATTGCTGTAAAACATAAAAGCCTAAAAAAATTAGAAATTTGAAAAAAAAAATCGTAAAATAATTTTAAAACAGTAGCTACCTTAACAACAAACCCTCGGAATTCCATAATGTGATCCCCAACATCACCTTTAAACCTACATCTCTCCACAACTAATAATCAAATTTCATTTTCAAAATCTGGTAGAATTTTTTTTCATTGGCAGCTGACGGTTTCACATTGCAGACTTAATCAAGTGCAGGTCCCATTAACGATATCTGGCTATACATAAAATGCTTTCTGTTTTTCCCGTATAACAGCCATTCATCTGCGACTGAATTTGCCTTCAACGTAATGTAAGCATGTTGTAAGGAAGACAAAATATTAGAATCGGTACTCTTGAAGAGTGAGAAAGGTGCCCGTGACGCTCGTCCCGTCAAGACCTCATGAACCTAGCATTTAAAAATATGAGTTTTCCTGGAAACAAACGATATTACATTCCATTTGCGAAGGTTCAGAGATGTCCTATAATAGTAATGATGATGATGATCATGATTATAATAACAATAATAATAATAATAATAATAATAATAATAATAATAATAATAATAATAATAATAATAATAATGTTATTAATAAGAAGAAAATAAAGATAATGGTGATTTTGATGATGATAATAATGAAATAATAATGAGAGTAATAATAAAATAATAATAATAGTAGCTCTAATAATAATAATTATAATAATGTAAGTAATAATAATAATAATAATAATAATAATAATAATAATAATAATAATAACAATAATAATAAAAGGTAATGGTGATTTTGATAATGCTGATAATGAAATAATGATGACAGTAATAATAAAAAAAAAGTAGATGTAATAATAATAATAATTATTATTATAATAGCTGTAATAATAATAATAATAATAATAATAATAATAATAATAATAATAATAATAATAATAATAATAATAACAATACTAATAATTATAATAGCTGTAATAATTATAGTTGCTGTAATAATAATAATGTAAATAATAATAATTATTATTTTAATAGCTGAAATAATATTAATAATAATAATAATAATAATAATAGCTATATTAATTATAATGTAAATAATAATAATAATAATAATAATAATAATAATAATAATAATAATAATAATAATAATAATAATAATAATAATAATAATTATAATAGCTGTAATAATTATAGTTGCTGTAATAATAATAATGTAAATAATAATAATTATTATTTTAATAGCTGTAATAATATTAATAATAATAATAATAGCTGTATTAATTATAATGTAAATAATGTAAATAATAATAATAATAATAATAATAATAATAATAATAATAATAATAATAATAATAATAATAATAATATAGTTATTATTATTATTGTTGTTATTTTTATTATTATTATTATTATTATTATTATTATTATTAATAAAAGTAATAAGTGCCCGATCCATGGAATGTATCCGTGTCATTCCACAAGCTCAGCCATCTTTACCACAATACATGCAAAATGATGAGAGAGAGTAGAGATAAAAAATAAATGTATCTAAATATAAAAATATCTATATGTGTGTGTGCAAGCATTTGTGTATATATGTCCAGTTGGGTATTTTGACATATCTTTGTTCTTGCGTAGGTGAAAGAAATTCCTGACAACGTTTAGGTCCAATTTGGACCGAAACGTCGTCATAAGTTTCATACTCCCATGTGCGTGTTATTTGTGCTTTGTTCCATTCACGGTATTGAGCCTTTTTATTCTCAAAATATAAGAACATAAGGATGGAGGAACACTACAGTAGGCCTACTAGCAGGTCCTTATCAAAACCACCCCTACCTAAACTACCAAAGAATTTACTCCAGTACCCACGACCCCAATCAAACCCAGCCCCTCCCACTCATATATTTGTCCAATCTCTTTTTAAAGCCACAAAGGTCCTAGCCTCGATCACCCTACTCGGAAGATTGTTCCACGCATCCACAACTCTGTTCGAAAACCAGTACTTACCTATGTACTTTCTAAATTTAAATTTAGTTTCATTTCAGAAACATTTTTGTTGTAGATCAGAGTAATTTGTGTTTTCTTTATCCTTTGTTCTGATTTTCATAGCAATTACTAAATTTTTCATTCCATTTATTTTCAAAATTGGAAATTCAGGAACATGTCCACTGATAATTATTTAAAAAAATAGATACTTAACCATTATGAATCCTGTAACCAACTTAAGATATAACACAACAAAGTCAATCAGTATGACATTTATTTACTGTGATTCTTAGTGTTTATTCGTTTATTAAGGCAATATTTCATGGTTTCTCGTTACCTGAGAACACAAAGATCATTAGCTGACAGAGACCAGCACTGGAAGACATTTGCCCTGTTTTTGATGTCCAAAGTAACATGTCATCTATGACATATGTTTTGTCTTAACTACATGTCGTTCTAGTAGTACCTAATAAACATGGGTCAAAAGATCTTACTTTTATATACCTCATTCCTTTGGTTCATGTAAGTAAAGGACATGTAAGTAAAGGACATGTAAATAAAGAACATGTAAGTAAAGGACATGTAAGTAAAGGTCATGTAAGTAAAGGACATGTAAGTAAAGGACATGTAAGTAAAGGACATGTAAGTAAAGGACATGTAAGTAAAGGACATGTAAGTAAAGGACATGTAAGTAAAGGACATGTAAGTAAAGGACATGTAAGTAAAGGACATGTAAGTAAAGGTCATGTAAGTCTCATGAAAACGATTATTAAATGCATAAGAGGGAAAACTGCAGAAGTCCTAACTGACATAAGCAAGAAGGTCAAAGTCACTCACTGTTATAGAAAGGACACTGCTTCAGGCAACTGGCCACATGTAAGAAAGTCTAACTAACTCAAACTATTTCGTCAATAATGTGGATTGTAGTGTTACAGTGTAGTCCTTGGATATTTCCTATATAGAGCATGTCACCTACATATAACATGTAACCTACATATAGCATGTCACCTACATAGCGCATATCACGTACATATAGTAGTCATTTATAAAAGCATGTCCCTTCATACGCATATCACCTACATCTAAGCAATGTCACCTACACAAGCATGTCAACACAAGCATTTGTCACCTAATATAGCATATCACCTACATATAGCATGTCACCTACATATAGCATGTCACCTATACATAGAATGTCACCTACATATAGCATGTCACCTACATATAGCATGTCACCTACATATAGCATGTCACAGCCACCGAGGAATGAAGGATCTATGTATGGCGACTGTTCTTCAATAAAACGGGTAAAGCCGAGCTTACACACTTCCATTCGATGGCTGCTACTCTTCCCGTACATGTACTTCCTCTTGTTCCTCTTAGTTTTCATACTTTTCTTTCTCCTTCCCTTCATCCTCCTCCTTTTTCTTTCTTGTGCTCTACTCTACCTCTGCTTGCTGTTCCTTATGCTGTTGTCTACCTTTGCCTGCAGTTCTTCTTCCTTCCTCTACTCTCTGCTGTTCTTCCTCTTCCTCCTCTTGCCTTTGCTTCCTATTTTTCATCTTCTATTTCTTCCTCCAACTTTTGTTCATTTCCTCTATTGTTCTAGATTTCTGATGCTCCTGCTGTTCGTGTTTTTGCTCTTCCTTCTCTTGTTGGTAAGAGAACTGAGGACTTGAACACAAACAATAAAGAAAATAAATACATCTTTGGCTATCAAAACTTGAGCATGTCTATCATTGTAACAAACTTCATCATCTCTAGAAATGAGATGAGGTCGAATTAGTTATATCAGATAAAACAGGGACAATGTTGCTTGTAATTACACAGATTATAAATAGCTTTATATTTACTGAACCTTTTGTTCATCTGTTTGGTCAATACGTGACCTGACAGGGTAACTTCACACTCTGCGTAAAGTAAAAAGACACAAATGCTAATTAAAGATATACTACTAGTTTTTTCTCACAACTTTATTCCTAGGCATATCTATTCTTAATGTTATTTGTATTACACAAGAATATAGGTTAGTGTTATTTGTGTTACTCAGGTAGGCGTGTTTCCCCAGCTGCTGCTGGGCCCGCGTGTTGATGGTGACTTCCTTCCAGCTGAACCTGAAGTGTTGATGACTCAGGGAAATCACAACAGCGTGGACGTCATATTTGGACTCAATTCTCATGAGGGCGGCTCTCAGGCACTCAGTGCGTCAATTTTATTTTAATATTTATTGTTTTTACTTATCATTTCCTCTCTCAGCCCAAATTTAGGCTAATTGTTGCTCTTGTTGTTGTTGCTGCATCTGTTCTTCCTACTTCTACTCTTTCACTACATACACTTCCTCTTCCTCTTATTTTTCTTCATTCTTTGCTTTATCCTTTTCTTTCTCCCAACTATCCATCCTGCTCCTGTTTTTATCCTTGTGCAACTACTCCTCCACTGCCTGCTGGTCTTCCAATCATTTTCATCATCTGCCTGCTGTTCCTTCTGCTTTGTCTGAGGTTTTTCTTCCTGCCCCTTTCTCGGCTGTTTTTCCATCTTTTCTTGCTCTCTTTCCTATTTTTCATCCTCTAACTGCTATTCATTTCTTCTTGTATTATAGATTTCTGTTGCTCCTGCTGTTCGTGTTCTCGCTCCTCCTCTTCCAATTTTCTCTTATGGAAATAATCTTTGTATCAAAGAAGGCTCTAAATGATAAGTTATGAAGAATTTAAGACTATGATATTATCAATTAATATATATGTATTAAATTCTCCTGCCACATCTAATACTTCTGAAATATTAGAAAATTATCATCATGATTATTATTATCATTACGTTAGTGAAAATCAGTAAACCAGCAAAGGCTATTGCGCACCATTTGATCCAAGAAAAGGTAAGATGGCTACATATTCTTAGATAAAAAATCCCTAACAAGAATTCGAGTTATTCCATGGTGGGTTATATAGTATAAATATTTCTAGAATCTATTACATCATCCTGGGAAGACTTACCTAGTTCTAGTTTTTGTAATTTTAACAGAATTCTACAAGAACGAATCTATAAAATCAGGTCTTCTGAACAACTTCGCCAAGTTTGGTCCAGCGTCACTTCGCTTAGAAGATGAGACTAAACCTGTGGAACTTGCCACCAAGATCTTTGATCAATATGTTGGAGGTGTTAGAGTTAACGTGGAAGATGCAGAGAATATCTGTCGGGTAAGAGATAATTCTAATTAATGCTTGCAATTATCCATCTGCCATTTTTTATCTACCAAGTGCATTTTTTTATATATATTTTTAAACAGACATTTGTCAGACGTCAAACATCATTAAATGACTTTAAATTTATTTGTTAATATAAAAGTTTTTATATCCCCCACCGCCTTAAAAAACAGATATAATATAATTGAATATTTAAGGCAATTTATTTAACTCTGATTACAAAATCAATACTCATACAACTTATGAAATATGTATTTCAGGTGTAATGTGTTTGAGAATCATTTCATTAACAAACAGGTACATGATTCATTCTCAGAAGAATGTTATCAGTAGGATGGTTCACTAAAGTGTGATTTCTTCCTTCTTAATCAGATGTTTAATGATCGTCTCTACAACATACCTCAAGACACAGCAGCCATTATCCATGCTAAAAATATGGAACCTAATAAGAAAATATTTATACTTGAACTAAACCATAAAGGTCAACGAACATTGGCAAGACCTTCAAACGTCAGCGTTGGTCGGCACTGTGAGTTTCAAACTTCCTTTATTGACATAGTCATTTGCATCTAATAATAATAATAATAATAATAATAATAATAATAATTAATAATAATATACAATAATAATAATATTAATAAATAATAATAATAATAATAATAATAATAATAATAATAATAATAATAATAATAATAATTATTATTATTATTATTATTATTATTATTTATTATTATTAATTATTATTATTATTATTATTATAATTATAATTATTATTATAATTATTATTATTATTATTATTATTATTAACATGGGTATGGAAGCGCACTAAACTCGTAGGGTCATGCAACACCTGGGAGTGAGAGTTCTTTAAGGTATGACACCTGGGAAGAGATTACAGTATTATATTAATGGGGAAGTGCTAACCTGTGTCATCAAACTAAACTTAAATATGAGAGAAAATCAATTATGATCCAAGGAAGTGGAAGGTAGATCCAGTTTCTGAAAAAAACAACCATCGCTTCTCATCAGTGTATTCAATGTAATGTGTTTTTCATTGTTGTTTTTTGAATTAATTATTATTATTATTATTATTATTATTATTATTATTATTATTATTATTATTATTATTATTATTATTATTATTATTATTATTATTATTATGAGTAGTAGTAGTAGTAGCAGTAGTATTGTTTTTTATAGCTTAATTATTATTGTAATAATAATAATATTCTTTATTTTATTATTTTGTATTAACACATCGGCCGTCTCCCACCAAGGCAGGGTGGTCCGAAAAAGAAAAGCTTACATCATCATCATTCACTCCATCACTGTCTTGCCATAGGCGCGCTTACACTACACTTATAAAACTGCAACATTAACACATGTCATTCAGACTGCAGGCACTGTACTTCCCATCTCCAGGACTCAAGTCCGGCCTGCCAGTTTCCCTGAATCCCTTCATAAATGTTACCTTGATCACACTCCAACAGCACGTCAAGTCCTATGAAGTATTTTTCTCCATTCGCTTTTACCAAGCACGTTAACGCATGCTTGCTGGAAGTTCAAGCCCCTAGCACACTAAACCTCCTTTACCTCCTCCCTCCAACCTTTCCTAGACCGACCCCTACCCCGCTTTTCTTCCACTACAGATTTATTCACTCTCGAAGTAATACCATTTTGTTCCATTCTCTCTGCATGTACGAACCACCTCAACAATCCCTCCTCAGCCATCTGGATAATAGTTTTGGTAATGCCACACCTCCTACTAATTTCCAAACTATGAATTCTCTGCATTATATTCACACTCCACCTTGCCCTTAGATATGACATCTTCACCGCCTTCTTGCAACATTCACCACCCATCTTTCACACCAACATAATTATGAGCGTTGGTATAACTGTTCTCTAATACATTCCCTCTTTTCTTCCATGGACAAACTTCTTTGTTTCCACAGACTCCTCAGTGCACCATTCATCACTTTCCCCTCATCAGCTCTATGATTCACTTCATCTTTCATAGACCAATCTGCTGATACGTCCTAAATATCTGAATTCATTCACCTCCTCTATGCTCTCTTCCCCCCCCCAATCTGAAACCTAATCTTTCGTCACCTAACTTTTTTATCCACATCCTATATTCACTTTTAATTTTGTTCTATTACATACCCTACCTAACTTATCCACCAATCTGCAACTTCTCTTCAGAATATTCCAAAAACACAGTTTTATCAACAAAGAGCAACTGTAACAATTCCCACTTCTTTTAACCCCACACCTCTTACCAACACCAGAGCATACACTTCTCTTTCAACCCTATCTATAAATATATTGAACAACCATGGTGACATCACAGACCCTTGTCAAAGGCTTATTTTTACTGGGAAATAGTTTCCCTCTCTCATACATACTCTAACCTGAGCCTCGCCCTTCACCGATTTCAATAACCTACCTCCTATTCCATACATTTAAAACATCTGCCACAGGACTTTTCCAAATCCATAAGTGCCACAAAAACCTCTTTACCCTTATGTATATATTGTTCACCTATATTTCACTGTCAACACTTGACCTACACACCCCCTACCTTTTCTAAAGCCTTCTTGTTCATCTGCTATCCTACTTTCCGTCTTACTCTTAATTCTTTCAATAAAAGCTATCATACACTTTACCAGGTATACTCAACAGACTTTTTCCCCTATAACTTTTGCACTCTCTTTTGTCCCCTTTGCCTTTATACAAAGGAACTATGCATGCTCTCTGCCAATCCTAGGTACCTTACCCTCTTCCATACATTTATTAAATAAAAGCACCAATCACTCCAAAGCTATATCCCCTCCTGCTTTTAACATTTCTGTCTTTATCCCATCAATCCCAGCTGCCTTGCCCCCTTTCATTTTACCCACTGCCTCACAACTGGCTCTTCCTCACTGCTACAGGATGTTATTCCTCTTTACACTATACACGAAATCACAGCTTCCCTATCTTCATCAACCTTTACCAATTCCTCAAAGTATTCTCTCCATCTTCCCGATACCTCTAACTCTCTATTTAATAACTTTCTTCTCCAATTTCTAACTTTCAAATCCATTCTTTCCCTAGGCTTCCTGAACTTATTAATCTCACTCCAAAACTTTTTCTTATTTCCAGCAAAATTTGTTGATAACATCTCACCCACTCTCTCATTTGCTCTCTTTATACATTGCTTCACTACTATCTTAACCTCTCTTTTCTCTCCATATACTCTTCCCTCATTGCATTACTTCTACTTTGTAAAACCCTCTCATATGCTAACTTTTTCTCCCTTACTACTCTCTTTACATCAACATTCCACCAATCGTTCTTCTTCCCTCCCACACCCACTTTCCTGTAACCACAAAATTCTGCTGAACACTCTAACACTACATTCTTAAACCTACCCCATACATCTTCGACCACATTGCCTATACTCTCATTAGCCCATCTATCCTCCAATACTCGTTTATATCTTTCCCTAAGAGCCTCGTCCTTTAGTTTATAATCCTTCACCTCTCTTTTACTTGTAGCTTTTATTTTCTATGAATCCCATCTACTTTTTTCCTCTCACTGTAGCTACAACTAAAAAATGATCTGATATATCTGTGGCCCCTCTATGAACTCTACTCACCAGTCTTTTATCTACCAATACGTTGTCCAACAAATTACTGTCATTACGCCCTACATCATATCTTGCATATCTGTTATTTATTTATCCTGTTTTTCTTAAAATATGCATCACCTATAACCAAACCCGTTTCTATACACAGATCAATCAAAGGACCCCATTATCATTTACACCTGGCACCTCAAACTTACCTACCACACCCTCTCTAAATGTTTCTCCTACTTTAGCATTTAGGTCGCCTGCAACAATTACTCTCTCACTTGGTTCAAAAGTTCCTACATACTCGCTTATCATCTTTAAAAATCTCTCTCTCTCTCCTCTACACTCCTCTCTTCTCCAGGTGCATACACTCTTATTATGACCAACTTGTCGCATCCGACCCTTATTATAATCCACATAATCCTTGAATTTATACATTTATTACAACCCAGGAGTCCAAATGGCCTGTTATCCTGGGTGTAAAGGGAGCAAAATAAGCACAGCAGAAAAATTTTGACTTATATTATCCTACATCAATTTAGAACAGCAGTATGTACACTATATACACTATGTACAGTGATAGGTATTAGTGCACTCCACAGTAAGCAAGGCAGCATAGAAGCCACTAGAGAGCAGACCGTGCTTCAACCAGCTCTAGAATGGGAATGACAAGGGCAGACAGGAGAGTGGTACCCACAACACCTCTGCGATTGCCAAAACCATCTTCTTATTGGCTGGAACCTGGTTACTGGTTCAACGACGGGGCCCCATCGTCAACCCTCAGTTACCTGGTTCGCTGGTTGGGGGAGATAGCCTGTGAATGAGGGTGTGTACATGTGCCGAATAAAGGTTACTTACTCTTTGCATGCCACAACATTTATATTCCTTCTTCTCCTTCCATAACTAATCCTTCAACATTATTGTTACCCCTTCCTTAGTTCTAACTCTCTCAGATACTCCTGACTTAATCCCATATATTTCTCCCCACTGAAACTCGCCTACCCCCTTCAACTTTGTTTCACTTAGAGCCAGGACATCCAACTTCTTTTTATTCATAACACCAGCAATCATCTCTTTTTTATCATCCGCACTACATCCACGCACATTCAAGCATCCAAGATTTTCTTTTTTTCTTTTTTTAGTATTTTCTATACGAGCAGGGGTTACTCCATGGCTTACAAGGGAAAGTTTCTTTTCCACTTCCTCTTGGAAAATAGAGTAAATAAAGAAGAAGGAGAACTATTAAGAAAAATAAGAAAAACATGGATGGGTGTATGTATATATATGCATGTGCGTGTCTGTGTAGTGTTACCTAAGTGTAAGTGTAAATAGCAAGATATACCTGTTATCCAGCGTGTTTATGAGACAGAAAAAAGACACCAGCAATCCTACCATCATGTAAAATAGTTACAGGTTTCTGTTTCACACTCACTTGGCAGGACGGTAATACCTCCCTGGGTGGTTGCTGTCTACCAACCTACTACCTGCTATAACAGTAACAATAATAATCATTATCATCATTTATTATTATTATTATTATTATTATATTATTATTATTATTATTATTATTATTTCAAAGTATATTTATTTTAATTATTATTATATTCACAAGACATCATTAAACTTACATGTGACACACATAAAGCTTAGTGAATGTTATTGTGTACAGGGGTGACCCATGCGGATGATATGTTCTACTTGTTCACTGGCGAGAAGACTATCTGGAAGCCGCTGGAGTGGCCAGACGACCTCAAAGTGAGACACATCATGCTTAAACTCTGGACCAATTTTGCAGCTACTGGGTAATGTAGTTTACCATTATTTTACTATCAAATTCATGGGAACGTGCTAAACCTTCAAGAGTCATACAGTATGTGTGAGGTTAAAATTTTTTAATCCGAGGAAGGGTAAAGTAGCTTCAAGAGCCTTTCTCTGGTATCTTTGCTCTATCCTAAAGGGATTTTTATTTTTATTTGTAAGTTCCTTCTGAAAATTACTTAAATAACATTTTTATATATTAAATATTCGTTTCACCAGTATGAAGAGAAAATAACTGTAACTCCTAGGATCAAATGTTTTTTACCATTATAACCATATGGAGAGTGACAGTTTTCAAGACGAATCTAATATATGTTTAACCCAGATCACACATCCTTATTTCATGACAGGAATCCAACACCTGATGACTCTCTAAATATAGTGTGGAAAGCTGCACGTCCAGACAACCTCCATCACTTGTCTCTCACACTGACGCCCACCATGAAGGCAGACTATAGGCACATGGTAATCTATTGTCCGCTTCTCGTACATTCCTCGTGCAAAAAAAAAATCAGTAAAATCTTTAGTGTATCTGAATGGAAAGATTGTCAATAAATATGATGAAGCAAAGAGCTGCGGAAAACTTCATTTTCTGACAACAACATCTTTACGTGACGAGCTTCTTATTACGATGAAATAAACTTTATTTCTGTAAATAATGACTTACAGTTGGTACAGGAAATGTGATATTATTAACATGCATTATAGAAAGCCCTGGTTATTCTAAAACTTTCTGAGCAGCTTTTACTTAACTTATAACTACTTAGAACTTTTAGACAATGCATCTATAAATGTCAAAAAACTAGGTAGCCTGGTTACAAACCATGATTCTTACAAACTCCAGGAACACCAGTCAAATTCTGCCATGTTTTCCTGTAATTTTCTTCTGTAAGTTCTGACTACATGAGTGATTTTATCATTGCAATAAGGAGAGAAAAGTGGAGGTGTATGCAGAGAAAATTCTTCTAGGTCGATCTTTCTCTGTATATACCTCCTCTCATTTGTACCTGGTCCATTGATGTAAAATCTTAAATGTGGTCAGAACATACAGGAGAATGAACAGTAGGAAACCAAGTCTGAGGCTCACTGGTGTGGCTGGGTCTTGGAAGTTGGGTTACAGTTGGTACCTCTAGCGGAATGTAATACAGTATTACTTCTGATTCCTTCCTATTAGAGGCCTGAGTTACCTTAAACGGTAGAGCATTATAATGTCAATTTATTAATCTCTGATCAAGCTCCTCGTCTACTCTTACATTTATTCATGGATAGTTATATATCACAATTTAATTTAAGTTCATAGACGATGTGGTCCTGAGGATGCTAAGAATAGATCTACTGTTAAAACTTTAATTTTTTGGTAGTTTGAGTGTGTGTGTGTGTGTGTACTCACCTCACCTCGTACTCGCATAGTTGCAGTTGCAGGGGTCGATTCATAGCTCCTGGCCCCGGCTCTTCACTGATCGCTACTGGGTCACTCTCCCAGAATCATGAGCTTTATCATACCTCTGCTTAAGGCTATGTATTAATCCTGCCTCCACTACATCGCTTCCCAAACCATTCCACTTCCTGACTTCTCTGTGACTGAAGAAATACTTCCTAACATCCCTGTGATTCATCTGTGTCTTCAACTTCCAACTGTGTCCCTTTGTTGCTGTGTCCCATCTCTGGAACATCCTGTCTTTATCCACCTTGTAACTTCCTCTCAGTATTTTATATGTCGTTATCATGTCCTTATCTCTCCTGTCCTCCAGTGTCGTCAGGTCGATTTCCCTTAACCTCTTTTCGTAGGATATATCCCTTAGCTCTGGAACTAGTCTTGTTGCAAACCTTCACACTTTCTCTAGTTTCTTTGTGTGCTTGGCTAGGTGTGGGTTCCAAACTGGTGCCGCATACTCCAATATGAACCTAACATACACAGTATACAGGGTCCTGAACGATTCCTTATTAAGATGTTGGAATGCTGTTCTTAGGTTTGCTAGGCGCCCATATGCCGCAGCAGTTATTTGGTTGATGTGCACCTCAGGAGATGTGCCTGGTGTTATACTCACTCCAAGTTCTTTTTCCTTGAGTGAAGTTTGTAGTTTCTGGCCCCCTAGACTGCATTCCGTCTGCGATCTTCTTTACCCTTATCCAAACTTCATGACTTTGCACTTGGTGGGGTTGAATTCCAGGAGCCAATTGCTGGACCAGGTCTGCAGCCTGTCCAGATCCCTTTGTAGCTCTGCCTGGTTTTCGTTCAAAAGAATTCTTTTCATCAACTTCACATCATCTGCAAACAGGGACACTTCGGAGTCTATTCCTTCCGTCATGTCGTTCACAAATACCAGAAACAGCACTGGTCCTAGGACTGACCCCCTGTGGGACCCCACTTGTCACAGGTGCCCACTCTGACACCTCGCCACGTACAATGACTCGCTGCTGTCTTCCTGACAAGGATTCCCTGATCCATTGCAGTACCTTCCATGTTATCCCTGCCTGGTCCTCCAGTTTTAACACTAATTTCTTGTGTGGAACTCTGTCAAACGCCTTCTTACAGTCCAAGAAAATGCAATCTACCAACCCCTCTCTCTTTTGTCTTATTGCTGTCAACCTGTCATAGAACTCCAGTAGGTTTGTGACACAGGATCTCCTGTCCCTGAAACCATGTGGGCTGCTGTTGATGAGATCATTCCTTTCTAGATGTTTCACCACTCTTCTCCTGATAATCTTCTCCATGACTTTGCATACTATACATGTCAGAATGACACTGGTCTGTAGTTTAGTGGTTCATGCCTGTCTCCTTTTCTAAAAAATTGGGACTACATTTGCTGTCTTACACACCTCTGGTAATTTCCCTGTTTCGATAGATGTCTTGAATATTGTTGTTAGGGGCACACATAGCCCCTCTGCTCCCTTTCTCAGGACCCATGGAGAGATGTTATTCGGCCCCATTGCCTT